TACAATGTAGTAGCTCGCTTTTCTCCTTCCTTGTGAAGCAACCCCCTCCTCTCATTGCGTCCAAAAAAGGCAAACAGGATGGAGCCAGGCATTAACCATAAATATTTATATTTATATTTATATATTTAAATCTCTATTTATAGGTTTTTTCACTCACAAAAATATTCCCAATACCCCCCTTTTTTGTATTTAAGATTTTTCTGAGATTTTAGGAGAGGTGAAAAGGCAAACGATTCGAAGGATTCGTCACCGATCACGGAATGCAGAGGAGGAAAGCACAGTGTTTTGAAGCATTTCGATGGTATATATACATGTTTAAGTATTCAAAATGTTGTACTAGATGGCCGGCATGACATTGGTGATGATGATGGTGATGATGTATTGCTTTTTCCCAATTTTCCATAGATATATATATGAAAACATAGTTGGTCAATCCTTCGCTTTGCTCATCTTTGTCATATTTCTATATATACATATATACTATTGAATGCGTGGGTGTTTTGTATTTTTTTTTTTTTTATTTGTAAGTAAAGGAAGGAAAATACAATATTTTTTTTTTTTTTTTTTTGAGTTCAGGTTCTAATCCATTTGTAGTAAAACTTTGGGCTTTTGGAGTCAACATGAGAATAGCACAAATTCCATTCTGTTTCTAGTAGCATTTGAAGATGAGTGCATTTGGGTTCTTGTAAAATTTGAGATGTGTTTATTAGATAAATGAGGGAAAAAAAGGAGAATATGTATTTCATTTTGTTCTGCTACCCAAATGTTATTGCACATACTCTTTGGTACTACATCTTATTTTGGGTTATCTTGGCATATTTGCATATAATTCAGTTCACATCACATGTTTTGTGTGTGCAATGCATGCCTATCAAGAGGCAATTTGTTAATTTTAGTGTATTTCTCATCTGTTTAAATTAAGGTTGTGATTGATCATTGAAATTAGAATGATGCGCACATCTAATGTTGTTGACTATAAAGTAAAAACTAACATAAAAGGGCTATATTAACTTGAAAATTCACATCTTTCTGAGTTTGTTCCATTTTGTCTTGTTTTTAGTCTAAAAAAGATCTAATGTGTAATGCTTGAATTTGACAAAAGACATAAGGAATTATTTGAATTCCTCCTTGGAATGCATTCCACCACTAGGTAATTCAAGCTGAAATAAAGTTTTGAATCTTATCGATCACTAAGAGGGAAATACTGATCCTATAAAAAATTTGCCAAAATTTCTTTCGTATGAGGTGTCCTTTCTTTCATTGATATTAGTTGCTCCTTGTTTACACACTGAATCTTTTTTAGCCATCAATTTTGTTACGAGTCTAGCTGATTTTAGAGTTTAACCTTCTGGGAATATCAGTAAACTTTATGGGATGAAGTTTTCTTTCAGAGTGAGCAAATTCTTGAGTTTGAATTGCAAAACCTGAAACAATTAGAAGGCTTCAAGTTCAAATCAATCATTGACATTAACATAAAAATAGAAAACTGTTTGAATTTTTTGGCATGGTATCGTCTACAAACCATGATGCTTTTCAAGGTCTTGTTTAATTTTGTTTTGTAATGTAATAAAATTCGTGACTGGATGTTGAATAACTGATTCATTTTCATCAAGTTTTAAGACTCTTGGGTGTTCTCACCCTTGATTCTTCAAGTTCTAGTTTTGATCACCTAGGCATTCTTATCTGCTTGAGTTTTTCAAGTTGGAATGGTCTATGCCTCATCTGGATCATGATCTATGATAAGATAAATATGAATGTGCAGATTGAATTTTTTGTTTGCATTCCTCATTGTGAGGTGATAGTACTGCGCACATAAATACATTCATTTTTGTTATTATATATTCAGGAGTCTTTGGGAAATCGATTTCTCATAATCGGTTGCTGAAACTTTTGTTTTATGGTACAAAGATTTTTGGTTTCGAAGAAGGCATACTCGTGGCAAACTTTCTGAGGAGTGAGCTGCGACAGATTGTTTCCTTCACTTAATGTTCATGGAAGGTGCCATACTTTGATAAGCAATTTTTGTGTTTGTGTTCTTATTGCATACAATATTATTTTGAAATCTTTGCAATGACACGGTACCTGTGAAGAGTTGAGATCAATCTGTTTGTTAGCATTAAAACTCCTAAATTTTCCTGCTCTTTTTTTATTTTTTTACAATTATTTTTTATTTTTTTTTATACATAAATTAAGGAGACTTGAACTTGAGCCTCTTTATTGCTGGGGTGTTCTGTAGGGGACTCTCGCTGCTTCATTAGCAAGGTTTATTTCCTATGTGTAGACTCTAGACTATTTGTAGTAGCATGCTGCTATTTGATCATTGATGTAACCTCAAATTAATCTAGATTAAATTTATCCCTTTTTTCTGTTGTCATTGATATAGTTTATATTACTTTCTGGATTGTTCCCTTTTGTTTTCTACCGATTGAAGCAATCAACAAGTAATGAAAACATATTGAACTTCGAAGCTACTAAAATGCTTCCACGGCTCTGAATACTCTGTTATTAGTCCGTAAAAGCAGAGTTACATCTTGATGATAATGGCTCTATTGCTCTTTTGCCACTTTCAGGTTGCCACTTTGACTTTATCAATGTTATTTTGGATTGATAATCTTATAGAATCAGTCATTGATGCCTTATTTCCTTTTTCTTCGTTTGAAGGGAACCAAAAATCAATCCCATACTGACCAAACTTTGTTGTGGCTACCACTTTCTTCAATGGCTGGATATTGCCTTCAAAGTCCATATTCCACAGAGCAATGACGAATACTCTGTTATTAGTCTGTAAAAGCAGAGTTACATCTTGATGATAATGGCTCTATTGCTCTTTTGCCACTTTCAGGTTGCCATCTTGACTTTATCAATGCTATTTTGGATTGATAATCTTATAGAATCAGTCATTGATGCCTTATTTCCTTTTTCTTCGTTTGAAGGGAACCAAAAACAATCCCATACTGACCAAACTTTGTTGTGGCTACCACTTTCTTCAATGGCTGGATATTGCCTTCAAAGTCCATATTCCACAGAGCAATGACACGGCATACACCCTGGAAACTTTGGTTAAAACTGTTTCGACCATTTTTTCTACTGACCAGATATATTGGTAGTGCTATAGTAATATCTTACTAGTTTTTTTATTCTCTGCTAAGTACACAATTAGATTACTGATTGTGTTGCTCAATGTTATCAATATCTTACGATTTGATATTTTTAGTGAAAGTTGCCTACTGAAATTACAGGAATTCATTTGTTGCCTCAAAACAGAGGAAAGCTAACAATGGCTGACATTGTTCCTGATCTCTGATTATTCACTTTATGTAGAGAGGATGTTTCTACATGGTTGGTTGAGAAATTATTTTCTTTATATCCATTGTTTGTCACTGTCAAGTGTTTCTTGCCATGATTTCTGGATCAATCTGAATCATCAAACAAGGGTTTTGCCCTTGATCTATTGAGTTCCTTTATATTCTTTCTTTGTTTAGTAAGAGGACAAAGCACGGTGTGCTCCTTTATATAATGAGACATGTTTCAGACATCATGTTTTGTTACTGACTTCTGAACTCATCATTATCATTAACTGTGTTTGAAGGATCCATGGACTGATCTTGAGATACTATGAAATTTGGATAAAAGCTTGTAAGCTTTGAAATAGTGATATGTTAGTAACTAAATCCATGGCAGTCTTATTATGTGCAAATAGTTGTTGACCTAATGGTGGCTTGGTGTGAAGAGTTGGGCATTTTTATTTGTAGCGTCTGTGTTATGTTGGCAGTGGAAATGACTATATCATAAAAAAAGTCTACGAATATGGAAATTGATTACAGAATTGGTCACAACTCTCTCGTAGAAACCAATCACATGTGAGAGACTTGTGTTTACTTCTGTGATTGGTTCCTGAACAAGTAGAAGAATTGCTTATCGACACAATTTTATACAGATCACAAATCAGCTTATTAACACAATTATCTATCACCTAATTCCAAGCGTACATGACAGATATTGATAGTGTTAGAAAACAATAGGATCCTTACAACATATATAAATAGTAAAATTGTGACAAGTTTCCATGGCTCTTATATTGAGCCAAAAGAGAAATATGTATGTGAATGTACTACAGTTATTGCCATGTGAAAATGGTTGGTACAAAGTGCGGGCCTGGGGCTTCTAGCCTAATGGCATTATCCCAACCTTCTCATGTGAGAGAGGTAGGGCGTTAGGGGTTCAAATCTAGCCAGAGGGGAGGTTAGGATATGCAATGGTTTTTTCAGGTCCCATCTATTCCACCTGCTCCAGCTACTTAGAGGCTCACCCGACTCTCATATCCTTAAAAGTAGATTTAGATATAAACCTGTTTTTTTAGTTAAGAAAAAAAAAAAAAAGGTTAATTACACTTTTCACCATCTTTAATTTGAGTTAAATTTCATTTTAATCCGTATAATTTTAAATTGAACAATTTGATCTTTATACTTTAAATTTAGATTTAATTTGGTCATTATGTCTAAATTTTTATGAATTTTATCTATGTGTATACTTTAGAAAATTGACAAGTGTTATAAAATTATTAATTTTAAGTTATAATTTAGACAAAACAGCCAAATTGAAACTAGATTTAAAATGCATCAAATTGTTCAAATTGAAATTATAAGAACAAAAATGAAATTTAAGTCAAACTATATAGATAAGAAGTGTAATTAACTCAAAAAATTAGAAATCCAAGGCGATAGAAAGTATGAAACAAGGGGCAAAATGTAATTTACTGTATAATATAATAACACAACACAAGTCTATGGTGGTGACATTGTAGTTCATCTTCTCTATCATGTTCGCTATTTGGTTAGGGTTAGGGTTTTGAGTTGATGGAGGCAACAAGGGAGGTTGAAGAGGGTTTGTTAGATAAGATTCAACCACCACGCTTGGAGGATGCCGTCCTCGAAGACTCTGTGCTTCCACCTGAATCCATCCGCGAAGCATTCCTCAAACTTGCCTCTGAAGTGGGCTCACATGCTGCCTCAATTTCATCTACAGATGATGATTTGTGGCCAAATGGTGGCGAATCGTTCGATATGGTGGTGGCGATCAAGGAATGTGTAGCTAAGAAGGGCGGCGGTGATACGGAAAAGAAGGCGGAAGTTGCGGAGATAAGAGAGGAGGAGGGTTGTGTTGAAGGATTGAAGATTGGAGAAGACAAAGATAAGAATGGGAGCTGACCCCTTGAATGCAGGCCTTTTGGGCATGCAGTACACTGATCGCCAACCATGGCAATGCATCTTGAAGCCAGTCAAAATATCCTCAGTAACTGAGCCATAAATCCACCCAACCTGGTACAACATAGAAATCAAGCAATAAATAAATTGAAAAACAAAAAATTGTTCAAAATCTCTAGAATTTTGAAGCAGTTGTCGCATACCTCTTTTCCCCACTCGGTTTTATCCTCGTAACCACAGCTAATGACATGAATGGCTTCTTTCAAGAGTGACGCAGAAGTTGCTCCTGTTGGAACTCCACCGTCGTCTAACAGCGTTGAAGCAATGAAAACCGGTGACTGTCCAAACTTTTTCTCAAATTTTATTTGGGGAATGAGGGATGATTTCTCATTTTCTATTCCTGCAATGAAGAAATAGTTAGCAACAACAGATTGTGTTGGTTTGATATAGACTTCTATATTGAGCAAGTGCCCACTACTCGGAATCTATATATAATTTGAAAATGTATCAAAGGTAGTGCCTTTAAACCCCATTGGTTACCTTCAATTCCTTCCTCAATATTTTCAAGTGCATGTATTTGTGTCAATGCCTCCCTGCTCTTTGTCTTCTTCTTACTCTCCTTTGATTTCCCTTTCTTACTTTTCTTTTTAGATCCACAACAGCAGCAACACCATTTAGGCAAACAATTGCACGTCTTCCCCGGGGGTTTCTTCTTGATCGGGGCATCATAGCCGTAGAGTGCTTGCCTCCTGAAGACACAACCCGTTCCGACATAAATTGGTCCCTGGATCCCATCCAGTCCTTTCATATTGATCTGTTTTCAATTCATAAAAGGTATTAATTAGCTCATCTAAGTAGTATAACAAGCATGTATAACATGAACACTATCAAGAAGGTGCTATACATACATCAAAGAACACAACATTGCGATTCGAGTATCTATCGTGACGATCAATCCCATCAAACCTTTGAGGAAACTGCACGTAGCATATTTTCTTTCCAGAGGTGGGATCCATCATGAAACACATAGCTTCACGGAGTGCCTTACTGTTGTTTATATAGTGATCACAATCGACGTTCAGTAGGTAAGGAGCATTTGAGATGACTGCCGAGACTCGCATCTAGAATTAGGAAAAACAATTAAAAAAAAGTCAGAGAATTGAGTTAATTCCAAGGTTAGAGCGAGTGGGGCGGAGATTTACCAGGGAATTCATTGCACCGGCTTTTTTGTGGTGATCAAATCCTGGCCTCTTCTCACGAGAAACATAAATGAGTTGAGGCAACTCATTTCCTTCAACATCACGGACACCATTTTGACCCAGGAACACCTAAATCAAAAAAAACAAAATTAAAAATTACTCAAAACCTTTACCATTTAACGTCCCATGGACCAAAAAACCTATAGGCATGCAAAAGGAAAAGAATACAAGAACACATCCACACCTGGATCATTCCAGGATGATCTCTGACATTGTTCCCTGGCCATGGAGTCCCATCCTGCATTGTCCAACCCTCCTCGGGAACCTTCTGTGCCATGGAAACCAACCCATTTATCCGAACTTTAAATTCTTCGTATTCCCTCTGTACCAACAAAGAAGACACTAACAATCAATACATTTGAAAAAATTAAATCCGAAATTCCAGTTATTCTTGGTATTTATCATCAAGATTCATAATTAATTCAAGATGATGGCTATTAGTACAGGTCATATATTTTATTGAATGCCAAAACATGAATCCTAAAGTTGTCTTTGGTATGCTTTTGTATCCTACTGTATTTTCACGCAGTTCACATGCCATGGGTTAACTACACCAACACCCCCGCAACTATAAAAACCGTACAAATACCCCTTCTGAAGGTCGTCTAGAGGGGGTGAAAGTGACATTTTTATAGTCACGTGTACATAGATGAGTGGGGTAAGTTGATATTCACTAATAGTTGATGGGATCTTGGTGTAATTAACTCCTTTTTTTTAAAACTTGAATGGAAAAAGTCACATAAATAAGACAAATTGCAAACCTTAATTGCACGCCGTTCCCTCACAAATGTAGGATGCACTTTGTCTCTAAGATAGTCAACCTTTTGAGCAAAATACCACTCCGGGGCACGAGGCTCAATATTGAACTTCTTGACGAATGGCACCCACTTCCTTGCAAATTCAGATGTCTCAGAGAGCGCTTCAAAAGTGAGCATGGCAGCACCATCATCTGATACATAGCAAGCAACCTTGTCAACCGGATAATCCACAGCAAGGATGGACAGAACTGTGTTTGCAGTGATAAGTGGAGGTTCTTTCAATGGATCAACAGTACTAACAAACACGTCTATAGGAGCTAACTCCGATGGCTTCCCCTCTTTCTCATACCTGAGATTAAAAATAAATAAATAAGCACGAGCTCAGGAAGGGGAGAGAGAGAGAGAGAGAGAGAGATGACGATATACCTCAGCGATAATCTATCTAGGTATGTTTCTCGCTCGATTGGGAACCATTTTGGGAACTGATCAAATATCCAGGACACTGCGAACCATATTTCGCAAATAATCGAGGTAAGCCACAATCCATATGCATCATGGACAGGGTGGCGAATTCTATAGTCAAAAAATAATCCAAGAATTGCAAGTCGGAGTAAAATGATCATTCTGTATGGATTTATCTTGCTTGAAGATATCGGTAACTTCCTCCAAAGTGGTTGCCTGCCTTCATCCATCCTGATGAAAAAAAGAAACAATAATAAGTAAAAATTTCTGAAATCAAAACAGAGAAGCAGTTTATAAATAATGGAAACATAGTCCATCTGTTTTCTTAATTATCATTAATTGCATTCGGTTCTTGTCATGTATCCACACTTTTATATTCCCCTATATTTTGAAGAACAATGTGTGAAATCTAATATAAATACAACTACTTATGGGTAATTTATCATGCATTCATGCCAATACCACAAGTTATTGTTATAAAGTCATGGACTATTTTTTTCACCCAATTACTGATATTTCAACAGCTTCCCACCACATATATATATAGAAAAGGGACAAAAAAAAAAAAAAAAAAAAAAATGAAAGAAAATTACTAAGAAATGAAAGGTAACTCTATATACCTTCCACCTGGCACCCTTGAACAGCATGCTATTCCCATTAAGGAAATCATCCAGTTCATCGAGCTCTTTTTTGACTTCTAAGATGACTTTTTCAAAATCCTTATGTTCATCAGCATTAAAAAAACACTGGCGAACCTTGGCATCAGAGATAAGTTCATCCCACACAGATCCACTATTACTCAGCATTGTTTCATTGCCCAAAATCCAAAGACAATGCCTAAATAAGGATTAATAAAAAAAAGAAGTTAACTACATAGTTCAAGAACTTTAAAGTATACTAAATAGTAAATCTAATATTATCAATAACCCATATGAAACCATACCTAGCCCTTGTCAAAGCAACATTAATTCTTCGAGGACTGGAGATGAAACCAATATTTGATCCTCTACCAGAGGATCTTACAGTTGATATTACTACAACATCTTCCTCCCCACCCTGACACCCATCTATAGATTTCACATTCACAACAAAGTTATCATGCTTCTCATATTTCCGGCCCAACCTCTGTTGAATTTCAGCAATTTGAGCAGAATAGGGGGATACTATACCAACGCTAAGCTTCTTCTTTGAAGCAGTGCATGCTGTACCAAAAAAATAAAAATATGGAAGAAGAAAGGAAAAACAATACGATCATTTGGATAGAGCTAAAACTAAAGAGGTACATCAAAAGAGATCTAAATAGGACTTTTAAATATTATTTCATTTGCCTAATCATTGATTGATTTTCAAGTGTTCAACTTAAATAACTTCTTATTGTTTGGAAAGAGGTAACATTCAAAACAACACAAAAAAAGTAAACGCAAAGCTTAACAAAAGAGATTGCCTCATTTAGTAAATTTAACTAGTCAATGATTTGATGTTTATACATTATATACAAGGATTTGTTGGATGACATTATTAGATGAACACTGATGATGTGTCGTTAGATGAACACTTAACGAATAAAATACCATCAACATGCATACCTTCAGAAAGCAAATGCAATATTTTCAAAACAACTGCCACTTCTACCATGTTTTTCCGACTGCGCTGATCATCAAGCATCTCTCTACCGCAAGAGATGTTTATGAAAGAAAAAGGGCCAAACATTGGCCCTGGAAGGAAGCATTTTGTATACTTTTGGCTCTTCACATTTGCAGAATCCATGACCTTATTTTGGTAAAATTTGGAATTGGGGAAACAGCTTATTGATGGATGCATTCGGTATTGGATATTTAGAAGTTGCTTTGAATGACCCGAGAGGGTCAACCTCTCAAACAAACTTCTTCCAAAACCTGCTTCCTGGGAAACCTATAAAACAAGATAATGCATGTGTGACAAACATATTTAGAAAATAAAAGAAAATAATACTTAGAACAACCGCCATAATTTAGCCCTTATACTTAAATCCCTAATATATATCAAAAGGCCAAGTGGCAAATCACTTACATTACTACGAAGCATTGCCGGCAACTGGCATTCATCGCCAAAGAGAATGATATGCTTTATTCCAGGGAGTGTTAGGGGTATAATTGAATCACATTCTTTTATTTGGGCCGCCTCATCAATTACCAACAAGCGCAGTGGCTCCATTTCAGCTGAATGCAGCTTGTATGAATTTGAAACGGTGCACAAAACTAATGAAGCCTTTTGAAAACAAAAATTCACTACTGACTCTTTGTTCATATCACTTGGAAGTTTAAGTTCATTGAGTGAACAATGTATAGTTCTTAGAGCAGAAATGCATTTCCTTCTAAAGTATAAAAAGCTGCACTCAAAAGCATCAATGGATTCTGACTCAGTAAAAAGCTCCTTCAGTTCTTCAAAACTTGTATCTTTCTGGTCCAACAGTTTCTCCAATGAATCAAGTGAATCAATAAGTGACACCATGCTGTGGAAATTAAATTCCTGAATGAAATTTAAGGGCAAATGAGTGCAGAGAGCAGACACACATCTTCTGAGTGGAATAGCAGAAGACCCAAATTGGTCTCTCAAAAACTGAAGAAATGATTTACTCATCACATTCCTATCTTCGCTTCCTTCGCAGCATTTCTCATTGATTGATTGATCAACACAGAAAGCTTCATACTGAGAAACACAACCTTCAAGAAAATCAATCATTGAAGTGAAGCAATCCTTCCAACCAGCTACTGATCCAAAGCACTCAGCAAGCTTTTCAACACGATAATCCAAATACACTTCCTGGAGATCTGGAGTAAGTTTCAATTTTTCCTTGTTACCAAATAACAAAATATCTCCCAAAGGGAAAAACAAACCATCCTTTCCACAACCTGTCTCTAGTGACTCTCTCATTACTTTCAGAGTACGAGAGGCCACTTCTGTGATTGCCACATTTGTTGGTGCACATATAAGAGTCCTACATTTCAAACGAATGAGGGTACACAGCAACATGCTGAGAGTTCTAGTTTTTCCAGTCCCAGGTGGCCCCCAAATGAGTTCTGAATTAGACTTGTGGTCACACTGCATTTTCCGTACAGAACTGACTACTGCCTTGTATTGGGACTCATTCAACTCAGATGACAAACATAACAATTTTTCTTCCAAAATCTGGTTCCTTTCTATGGGACACAGATTACAAATTTCTTCAACCTGTCAAAACCAAAATAAATAAATTCAATTGAGGTGCGAAAAATTCAATTGGAGGTTCAATGAAGCTCTTCAAAGTTCTTACCAGAGTCTCAGTGCACAAAAGTCTCTTGATAACCTCCACATTTCCTGCCTTATGCAATGCAGTCCATATTCTTTTGCTAGTTGTTATATTCATCAAGAAAATCATATAGGCCTTGCAATTCCTCCCATCATTGATATTAATAAGGTCCTTGGATGCTTTAACATTGAAATGGGTAGCAGCTGCAATGTCATTTCTTTTGTTATCCCCCCCAGATATTTTAGTGATGGTGCCAAAAGCCCATTCACTTCCTGACCGTTGCAAATCAGAAACAGATTCAGGCTTGGCTTGTGTGAAAACAAATATGTCACTGGGAAGAGCTCTGTAAGGCTCCTTCCCATGACGACTTGATCCTCCATTTCTCCAAAAACCAACCTCAACATCATATAATAATGATGCTGTAGGATATGGTTTGTATTCATTTAGAGAGATGATTTGAGCAAAAGGTGCACTGGATATAGCCTCCATAGTCGAAGATAATTCTGCCCGTATCTCTTCCAACAATGGGCAAACAAATGATCCCAGATAGTTCTGGACAGACTCAAATGATTGTGGAACCTTTTCCATCTAAAAACAATGACAATGACAATAAAATTATTCAAACCAATAAAATTTTCAAGCGAAGAATATATATAAAACTACGACAATTATGTGTCTATTGCCAAAGTCTTGTAAAAGAAAAGCAAAGCTAAAAAAAAAAGTTACTAAGGAGAGTAGAAAGATTCCCTGCAGTTATTTCCAGGCACTAATAACTCTTTATTACTGCAACTTATAAATAAAAATATGCAGTCGTGTATGTGTAGAAGCAACCAAACTAGACAATAATAAGTACACATTACATTAAGGAATATAAAAAGGATTTATGCAAATCCTGTGTCAAAACTCATAACTGTGGAGAAAAGGAACAATCCATTGTGCATCAAATTCTAAGGTCATGCACCACATCTCTCTCCCTCTCTCTCTGAAATCCAGAAAACAACATGAAGGGGAATTGTTTGAAGGCTGGTGTAGGCTTTTCACAATTGAGGTATAGAAGGCAGAAGACAGGAGATAGCTGATGGGGCTGGCACCCTCAATGAATTGGTAAGGTATCTGTGGAAAGAAATCTGACAATGATAAAACCTCAAATTAAAAAACTTATTTTTATCCAAAATTTATTGACTGTGGGTTACGGTACCCAACAGACCACACACAATGCCATTTAGTATTTAATATACAACAATTCAAGGCTTCAGATAACAAAGAAAAATATTTTACTAATTGAAAAATTAATAACAAACATGTTTCAAAAGAAATTCAGACAATGGTTTTTTGCCAAATTTTCCCAAGTTCAAAAGCTTAATTTCAAGTTTACAACCATAACACTATTGTCAGAGACAGATCCAGGATTATATTTATGGGGGTGAGAAAGTAGGCTCGAGGGTGCAAATCCTTATAATTTAAAATTATTTTAAATTTTTAATATTTGATATTTTTCAAATCTTTGGAATGTGGTCACCCCTCCGCACCCCCCCCCCAGATCCATCCCTGACTACTGTCATATTTTCAGCTAAATACAAATAACCATAACGTGCCAAAATAAATATAAAACCATTAACCAATGTTAGAAACACTAATTTGTGTAATAACAAACATACAAAACATACATGTAGAACTCACTTAACATTTGAAGTATCTAGTTTGTGTTTCTAATGTTATTGAATTTATGCTTTCCTTCTCGAAGATGAAAAAGGAAGAAGAAAACGTGCACAAAGAACATGAAAAAAGTAAATTAAAATAACCATTGTTATAGACATAGACTAATAAAAACATTGAGCAAATAAACAAGCCATAAATCAAATTTAAAAAATGATGATCACATAGTAATGATGATACCTGGCTTTTGAAAAGATCTTCATTGAAAATGTCTTCGAGGGACCAAGAAAATACTAAATCAAGCAAGTCCCTTTCTTTATCCATCTTTCTCTTTCTCTGTGTTTTACTGTTCCTTCTACTTGAGTATCAAAAAGAATCAGCCAAGTAATTAACAATGAACCGACTTCAGATGTTGAAGACAGAGAGAAATAGTAAATATATATAGGGGGAGAGAGAGAGAGAGACTCAATGGGAAGTGCACCAGTTTTCTTGTACTAAGGAGTGTGAGGGTCTTCTCATATTCCTCCCTCCCTCCCTCTCTACCTGACTTCTCTTAATTTTCAAAGGTGACTATCCAACGGCATGCACCTTATCATATATCCACCTAATTTTATCACAAAATTTTATAATATTGATTACAAAATGTATAACTTTATTATAAATTAGCATAACAAAATACTAGCATATCACCCGTGCTATGCACGGATTGTGTTTATAATTATCTATATATGTGAATTGTGATTTTTAAATGTTTTTTTTATTATTTTTTAAATGTCTTCTTTTTTTCCTTTTTTATATTATATTAAAGTTTAATATTTTGATAATAATCACATGTATTGAACTTTTCAAGAAATTAAATGTCTTTTTTTTTATTATATTATATTAAAGTTTAATATTTTGATAATAATCATATGTGTTGAACTTTTCAAGAATTTTTTTTTATACTTGTTCTTAATGCATTAAAGTGTTATTATGAGGGATAATAATCACATGTGTTGGGACTTTTCAAGAAATTCATATGTGTTGGATTTCAAAGAATTTTTTTATGCTTGTTCTTAATGCATTAAAGTGTTATTATGATAATAAGACTTGGGAGTTGGGAGAAGTTAATAAATGCTAAGATTTTTTTTTAAAAAAAATTAAAAAATCAAGAAATTTAGATTACGAGATTTGAGCTCCCACAAGACTTGGGGTTAAAAACCCTTTTTTGCTTAATATATAGTATAGATTTAAAATTTTGTGGTTGATATAACAAAAATTTATAGCATAGTTACAACATTTTTTTGTTATACCAATTTATGATGAAATTACCTATTTTGTAATTAATATTACAAAATTTTATGATAAAATTATGTCAATTTGTAGTAGGGTGTGCAGGGAGTGCACACATAATTTTTTTTTAAAATAAATACACTTATTTAGGTCATATCAATTTTTTATTTTTTATACATTTTATCATAAATTTTTTTAAAATATACTATGTAAGGAAGCCCCAAACAACTAATCAGGCGTTCATTCCTTCCATATTTCTATTCCATAGGGTGCCACTAATGCCACAGGAGCATTGCGTTATACGGCTGAAATAAATAAATAATTAAATTTTTTTTACAAGAAAAATGCTATGCGCAACATAAAAAGAAAAAGAAAAAAAAGGAAAGGTATTTACAAAATAAAATATATAATGGAGATTCCAAACTTCGTATAATCTGAGAAATATCATGTTACTTCTTAAATTATTATTTAAAAATTAATTCAACTCTTATTTTTTTAAAATAATATCAATTTTATATTTAAATTATTCGATTTTACATTAATTTTATCCCGCCGTCAATTGCCATCTATAATCAAATAAAAATTATTGGCATGACACAGAAATTTCATTTGAAATTTCATTTTATTATCCAAACTATCCCAAAATATCAATTAGACTTTTAAAAATCTCTGGGAAATCGTAAAAATGATTAAACATGTTTTTAGTGGTTTAAAATTTCATTTTACCCTCCAAAATATCAATTAGACTCCCAAAACATGTTCAATCTTTTTTTTAAGCGATTTTTCCAGAGATTTTTAGTAGTCTAATTAATATTTTGGGAGATAATTTGAGAGGTAAAGTGAAATTTCAAATGAAATTTGAGTGCCACATCAATAATTTTTGCTTGATTAATAGATGACAATTGATGGTGGGATAAAATTGATGCAAAATCGAATAGTTTAAATATAAAATTGATATTATTAAAATAATATAGTTAAATTGATTTTTAGTGATAGTTTAAATGGCAAAATGATATTTTATCACTTGCAAAATGAATGTGATTCATATTTTTATTTTTATTTTTGTTTACTTTTGAATATATATTGAATAAATGGCGTTAATGTTTGGCAAAAGCAAATTTTGTAAATATTATTTAAATTATTGTATATGAGTAAATTATGAAACACACATACTTCTACAAGAAAGTTGTATCTGTACCACACGTTGAAATTAAGATGTACATTTCTTTTGCAACAAGTTTTATTGTTTTTCATTTATTTGATATATAATTTTCTTTCAAAAAAATATGTCATTTTTTGTGTAGAATTAAAATGTAATTGTTAGAAAGGAAATTCTATGATACACTTTTTTTTTGGGTGTGTACCACATGATGCCCCAATTACCACCCATTATGGTGTTAGTTATAACTTACTGGTTTTAATTATGACTTGGTTATAAATTAGTTATAGACATTGTGGTGTTAATTATGACCCGTGATATTATTTATGACATTATTTTTGTTATTATGCAAAACATCTTTAGTTATACCCTATGGTGTTTGATTATAACTCAATTTATTTATTTATTTATTTATTTTAAGTTATGACTCTAAAATGGTTCAGTTATGATATTTTGTGATTATCAACCTCATAAATGTCATAAACATGCATATGGTAGTATTACTATAAATATGAATGTAAATTATTATTCTACAATCAAATGGAATTATTCATTATGCTTTTTGGATTAATTACCTTTTTAATCCTCAACGTAAATGATTTGTATAATTTTGGTCTCTAATGTTTAAATTATATAGATTAAGTTCATAATGTATAAAAAGTGTATTAATTTAATCTCCTAACCTAACTCTGTTGGTAGATATTGTTAAAATTAGGAGTAAATGTGGAAACTCAATTAAAAATTTACGTTTTTAGTCTTCAAAATATGCAACCTATATCATTTTGTTCTTTATTATTTAAATTGTGTGAATTTAATCTGTAATATATAAAATGTATTTCAATCTTGCCTCCCAACTTAATGTCATCTCTTTCTGCCTAAATCATGGGTAAAATGTGGAAATCAGAAGTGCAAGTTAGAAAAAGACAAAAACAAATAAATAAATAAAAAAAAAAAATTGTTAGAGTTTTAGTGGGATTGGGGTAGGAGGTTGGTGGTAGGAAATAATGTTTTGAAAATCGAATTGGTGAGCAAATTAGAAAAGTGACTGTGTAGACGGGTCATTAGTTTAACTGTGAGTGAACTGAAATTGAATCGTGATGTCATAATTATGTCATAAATATATTAAAATTTATAAGTATAAAAAATATAGATATTAAAATTACAAAAAATAATAAATAATAAACAAATACAAAAAAAAAATGACTTTCGTAAAATTTATTTTATGTTTTTTATACATTGATTTTTAGTAAAAATAATTAAGATAATACTGAATATTTAGTACATATACTTGTTACATTGTTAATAATTGTGTTGATGACTCAGTAGTTTAAGTGTTTGTTTTTTTTTATGTACTTGGTTTCATATTCAACCCTTCTCCATAACATATTTTTAAAAGAAATTTAAATTCTTCAAATCTACCTGGTTCTTATGTCAACCCGTGACCGGTGCATACGTTATTCCGGTTGAATCGACAGTTCTTTCGATTTTCAAATTCTAAGTCAGTTTTGAGCATAATTCAAATTTGGAGGGTCATCTGGATTAGAACTAGGTCCGGTCACTGGTCCGACCAGCCAGTCTGACCTGGGTTTTCAAACATTGGTTGGAAAGAAGATAACATAAGAGCCACTGAGGGTGTTTTTGGCTCATACTTCATTAAATATAAATAGTTTAAATAAATTAAGAAAAAGTTAATTATTTAAAAGTTAATGGAGGGTATTTTGACTTTTGATTTTTAATTATCAACTTGTTATCTATAATATATTGCATCGATTTGGTTTGAATTTGTGTTTTTAAAATGCCAAAATTGCCTTTTAATTGTTATTGCCATTTACAATTGGACTAAAGTAAAGAGTAAGATTCTTCAAGGGGAAACTGAGGTTTTTTTGTTTTTTTTTTTAAAAAGTAAGTTTATAGTGAGAAAGGAACTATACTTTAAGAGGTGAACGTGTAATTTACCCTAACAGAAAACAGGTATGACATTTTTAGAGGGGACAAGAATAATCATAAGAATTATGTGGGTTCAAGCATTGTTACGTGGCACGGTTATGGATTATCACGTCAAATTTTTATCAAACACTCTATTAGTGTTTTATGTTGTGTAAAGCTTATCAGGAGATGCAATCTTATTGATATAGAAGTCTTAAACAACCGGAGATTGTTTGGAATAGAATTTCTGAAACATTCAAACTACTTATTAGGTAAGTCACTGAATATTATAAATAGGCAACACCCCATGAGTTGAGCTATGTGATTTCTCTCTATGAATTTGTCCATTAAATATTTTGATAATATTGGAGGACTGACTTGGGCATTAGAGGGCCATCGCTAAGGTTGGAGGTGTTTTGTCTTGTAGATGGCGATCGCGTGGTGGTATTGATCATCTTCTTCGTTAGATTCTTCATCAACAAATACAGTATTTTTTTATGTTCGTACAATTGGCGCCATTTGTAGGAAGCAACATAATTCAATGAAGAAGATTACATTATTCTCGATGTTTTGTTTTGCAATTAGTTTATCGAATTGCAAGATCTGAAGCTTGAATAAAAAACAAATGGAATATTTGCGAAGGTCGGTTTGTTTGATGGCTGTAGCTTGCTTTTCATGCTCCTTTTGGATACGATAGCCCTACAGTTTGGACTCCCGTGATTTTGAATCTGATTTCACAAGTGCAATATGAAATAGATAAACACAAATGAGTCAAAATCCAACAATTCTTTTGGAAAATCGATTTTGAATAAAAAATGTCAAAATTGACTACATTGCTAGATTTCAGAGTCGTCACCTAAATATTTTTGGAAAACTTAAGAAACCCATGACTCATGCCAAAGGCCACTTATCTGTCATCACCAAAGTGTCTTAGCTCGGAAACTTAGGTACGAGAGGGGAAGGTCAT